TAGACGCACAGTTTCCAACTCATGTAGACTTCGCAGACAGTCAAAGATAAATAAATATTGTCGATCAAAAAGCTGTGAGAAAATCTTACAGGACTACGTAAGTAACATATCTGAGTACTACTTGTCAAAATGCTGCTTGTCTACCAGAAGAGGCTTCTGTGACAATAGCAGAGGCATTAATCAAGACCAGATTAGTCATTGGAAAGACGCCATGCAGAAAGAGTACAATCGTTTAGTGCAAAATTAGACTTGGGAAATGGTAGACATTCCACACTCTGGTTTTTGATAGCATTAAGTTTTAATATAGGACTTGATATTTTTCATTTATTTAGATGTTACTACGGCTTTTTTGCCTGAGAAATTACAGGAGATTATTTGTAAAAAGTACCTAACCTGAGGGTCTTATAAATCAGGGTTGTAAAAACAAAGTTTTAAAGCTCAACCAAGCAATTTATGGTCCCGAACAATCATCCAGAGTTTGGTATAAGAAGGTCGAAGTGGTATTGACTATTGACTAATCTTAAGTACACAAAATCCAAGTTTGAACCTTGTGTTTTCATAAAGAAGCAGACATTACCTGATTACCTTATAACAACGATTGCTTTATACGTCGATGACTTTTCATTTTTTCTAATGATATTATTGATATTATTATAAGTTATATTGAGTCATTCTCAACAAAGTTCAATATGGCAGAGTGCAAAACTGTTAAGATACGTATGGAGCTAAATGTGAATTTGAGTGAAGGTAAAAGAAAGTTCTTTTTCAGTGCCATATCAGTAGCTGATTGGCATGCTAATGTATTTGACTGTAATGACTAGACCTGATATCTTTCATAGTTTGAGTTATTTGAGTCAATTCAATAAAGTTTTGAAATTAAGACTTTTATTTACGACTAATGTATAATGTGCGTATTATATTTGTGATTTTGGCAGTATAATGACATATGTTATTCCTCCAGGGATTAATGACGAGTACCGGGATTAATGGTCATTATTCCACAAAAGTGTCAGTGTCAAACGTGTAGTGCTTGTGGATTTGTATTGAAAATTATGAGACGGATGAAATTTGTTCATTGAAAATCTCAAATAAATTATTTTGTCGTAAATAAAGTAGAGTATACTACTCGCAATAATGGCTATTATTCCCTCGGAATGTTACTCCCTCGCCGCTAACGCGGCTCATTTCGTAATAATCCTCGGGAATAATAGCTATCATTATTGACTCGTGGTATAATCTACTATAAAGAGACTAGAGATTATTTTCTAAAATTTGAAAACAGTTCTTGTCATTTAGTGGGATACGTAGATGCTGCTTCTTGTTTCACTTTTTCAAATTCCTTCATTCCCTGGAAGGGCACTAAGCAGAAAACAGTGGCTATATCCAGCACAGAAGCCGAACACATAGCCTTATCAGAGGCAGCAAAAGAGGTGATTCACCCTCGGTTTACCTTAGCCTCAGAAATTTATCCCACGAGCTAGATGCTTCTTTTGATGTCATTTTATATAAAGTTAGTTGCATGGTTCTAGAGCTATGACGTCTGAAGAGGCAGAGGGGAAAATTCGCTATTGCGGCATTGTCATATCAATAATATTATTACATAAAAATTGCAATGAAATCTCCTTCGACTCTGAAATAATATGGAGAATAATATTCTCTATAATATATTATTATTTTAAGAATAACATAAAAATATAATGATAATACAATTATCATTTTTTTTAAATATCAAATCTTAATATTTTATCCATTTAATTAATCATATATATCATTAAGAATCCATTTTATTTCCAAAATCCGACATCACTGAGATCACTCAAAGGTCGTTAATGTGGAACGTTTCAAATCGGGCCATACTTTCCGTATGTGAGAAAGCAAAAAATGACTGAGCGATTGGAATCCCACCAGCGCGATGGCGTCATCAGCTTGGCGGCACATTTTGAATTTTGTTACACTGGCGTGTTGGTTGCCTAACGTTTTTTGTTCGATCAAGGTTTCATTCAGTGGCGTAGCAAAAAGGTGTTAAATAATATGAATAAACATGCCCAAGGAAAAGATCTTCATAGCCAAACAAGAGAGGTTATAGCCAATATAGTGGGCGAATGTCAAAATTTCAAAAATCCAAGCTTTTTTCATGAAGAATATACACACAAAATCAAATCTTTAAAAAAAAATAACTACGCACGCTTTTGATGTAAAGCGTTGGCCGAGTTTTTAAGTGAAATTTTCCCCTCTGCAAATGCAACTAACTTTAGTTATAATAACCCAAGTACACTTAAGTTTTCAACCAATCCAGTTTTTCATAAACGTTCCAAACATATATAGATGTGGGTTAATATTTCATCAGGGAAACCATCGAAAGTGGCAAGATAGATGCTAAATATCTGGAATCGACTGAAATGCCAGCGGATATTCTACTAAAAATAAATTTAAGAATTTGTTGAGTATTGTATAAGCAGGAACAGCCTAGATTATATGAAGAAACTTGTTGGTATATAACTTTGTAAACCTTTCGTTCATTTCATGTTTTTTGCTAAATAATACCTATACTGCTGGTATATATCAAACTACAGTAGTGGGGGTATTGTGATGTTTGAAAAAATATACAGGATTCGTTCTTTGTAGCAGATGTAAATATCAACGCAACTGATGGTCATGTTGATTAATGATAGATTTCAAAAAAATATAGTTCTTAGATTAGTTAGACCGAATAATACGCGTGCTTTTTCGCATCCCTTGACAACCTTCCACTATAGCCAAAATGCTCTAATACTAATATAACGTTTTCACGAGCTGCAAGGCTGAAATGTTTAAACAAATTATCAGTATTTGTCGATAATAAAATTAATTATTATCTACTAGATGTCTTTTGGTACAGACATCAAGACATATAGACTGAACTATGCAAAATCAAATAATTGGAAGCTGTCCGCTAGTCAGACAAAAGCAACAAAATCTTTATTTCACCAAGGTCCCTAATCAGGACAGCAAAATAAAATCGATTCCCTATTTTATCGTCTGCTGACAATTTCTCTATTTCCAGGGCTATGTAGTAATTGATTTTTTAGAGGCGCTGAAACTAATTTTTAATTTTGAACATCCGTAATAGCCAGCTCGCTAAAAGGCCATTTTATGAGGCAATTCATTTTGTTGTTGCCTAAGTTGTCGAATATCCAAAAATTATAGGTCGCTCTTTATAACTACTAAATAGTAGAGTAGGCTATCTGTTGGCACAGGTGCGACCAATATTTTTTTTTATTTAATGTAAAAAGTAAAGTAAAATAAAATCAGAAAAAAATGTGTCAGATGACGCAAAAAAACTCAGGTTTTCACAAAGAAAACATAGATTGTAATAAAATCAATAATAATAATATTAATAAAAATAAAGCCATTCGTGAAGAGGATGTGAAGGAAGTAAATTTTTCTAACCCAGTTAATTAATTAATAATAATTATGCAAAAAGTATAATAATTATTAGTATTCTGCCAGCCTCTAATTAATTAGCGGAGCATATACTATGTTATGCAACTATTTCCGCTATCTACAATTATTTTACTTTGACTTTATTTATCCGATCAATTGCTACAAATTTCTTATGCAATTATACGAGCGCTCGTAGATGTCCATATTAAAACGGCGCAGGACCTTATCATGCTAATTTTACCTATTTGGACCAGGACTGATGCGTTTACCTACAAGTTTAAATATGAATATGGGATATTCGTGGCATAACCGACATGAGCTAATTAAAAGTTCACGAGAAATTTGGATACAATTAGAATTTGAACCCAGGACCCCTAAATTACCAGTGTAAAGATCTATCAAATGAGCTACCAAGGCCTTCAGTTAATTTCTGCCCAATCGGTCAAGTGTTTCGTCAATTTTTGACGTGAAAAGTTAAATGTCAAAAGCACACGAAAGAGTTTCAGGCTCTCACCTCCGGCCATCATAAATTTTTGCGTATCAGGCAACCCTTGCTGCTTTTTGCAGAGAAGGAATATTTCAATATGCAAATATCCAGTCAGTTTCAAGTCAAAACTTATTGTCGAGCAGCGGTAACGTAGATTCAGTTTGCATTTTCAAGTTTTGGTTTGGACATAAAATGTTTTGTGCGTTGATTATGTCTCATTTATTTCTTTCATATCAAGTTTGTATAACGTCTGTGTCGAATGCAGACACATAATTATTATCAAGTTTTTTTTACATATATATTCTATAAAACTTTGAATCCTAAAATTAATTATACATTTGCTTTCTAAGAAAGCAAAACCTGCAGAGAAATAAAATAAATTGAATAAAAGCTAAAGCTTAAAGCTAGTTCAGTGACGCAGCCGGGAACCCAATTTTTTAAAAAATATTTTGTTTGTTCATTCTTCTGAAAACTCCTGAATAGAGATATTTTGGCAGTTTATAGGTACAAGGTGTCCCACCGGAAACCAAATCGATCCATACAGGGTGTTTCACAAACATCGAAACACAGGCGTTTTAGGGTATTTTAAGGTCGATTAAAAAAAAAAAAAAACGTTCGGACACGTCATTTTTGTATTCAAGTGGGAAACTTTCTAACCCCATCGGTATTTCGCTAGGGTGCCCCTGGGTGAGGCGACTTTCACCCCTCTTTTCCAGATAGGGATGATAGGTCGAGTGGTACCTTGTTTTAAAGGTATTCTGATTCTCGTCACAACTGAGTATTTTTTTTGTAAATTGAATGATTAGTTTTAGAGATATTATCTACGGAATCTCTCTAGAATCTTGAGAAGAAACCAAAAATGAAATAGTATATAGGGTGTTTCATTTAAAATAAGCAAGTTAACGTCTACTTCCGGTTTAACCGGAAGTGCCACCAGCTTGAAAATATTTTAGCTGGATTGCCCCCAGTTCTGTAAACGGTTTTTCACATATAGATCAATTTGGTTCCCGGTGGGACACCCTGAATAAATCACCGAGAAAAAATCCCAAATACGTCACTGATCCCTCAAAATGGTGATATAGTGGCTTACCGCGTTTAATTTTTAGTGTAACCGGGTCTGAAGATAATCGCAGGCACTTTAGAACTGGAAAAAGCAAGAATGGGTTAAAAATTAGGTGATTGTGAAAAATAGCAAAAATGTACAATTTTTTTAAAAATATTTAAAATTTTATGAGAATTATTAGCTGATTAAAAAAAATTATGTTATCTCAAATAAAAGCTGATTGTCTTGATACAGATAATTAAAAAAAAAGGTAGATATACCTAATAAGCTTTAAAAAGCAATATGCTTTGAATATTTGTATAGGTACCTATACAACCTTTGTAATGTTACCCTAATTCACAGTAACACTCTCCAGATTCATACATCTTGAAATGTTTGAAACCTGTTGTCCTCTTCTAAAAAGGAAGAATTTCAATTTCAGTATGTACAACAACAAAACCCAAAACCCACATAATAAATTAATATAAATTTTCATTTCATATTCGTCTTCGCCGTTTTTGGCCTAACTAGAATTCATTGTTTGCTTATGCCACCTCCATTGTCTCCAGTGTATAAATGGGAATAGAAGTTAAACCACAGAAAGGAGCTTGAATTGGAATTTAGGTCGGACGGGATACACTTAACCGCATTGCGCCCGACCCTGTGCCTGCAGAGTAGTCAGAGAATGATTGATTTGATCAGTGAAATGAAATAAATGTGTCAGTTCACACATAACTATCGCAGCCCACCACATTGCAACGTTTATTTTGAAATAAAATTCACATTTAAGTCTTAAGAATAATATAAAATATGGGTATTTTTCAAATTTTAAAACATTTTATCAGCAATAATTCTTGCCCAAATTTTACCAATACCTCGTATCTCTTAGGCTGGTGACACTAGAGAAATAAGTATATATGATCAGGAAACTCGTTGCAAGTAACAGGAAAACAAGAAACTTGCTTCATTATTCACGCGACTCCTACATTCAAATAATAAGGCCAAGCACACTGGCGTTCCTGAATCAGAAAACAGAAGAGCAGGAACTATTTCGCATACAACTGTAACTTGCTTCAGTTCACAAGTCTCATTAAACTTATTTCTCATCCAGTCATCTGCCTGAATGCGTGCATGTAGGTACCTACTCAAATTTCTAGCAGTCTGTATATTTAAACCAATCAAACCCATATTCAATGCAAAAATCCAGACTACAAAATAGTGAGGGAACACGACCGACGAACATGTCCGTATTTCTGGACTACCAGGATGCAACATGGCAGAGGGCGCGGTGCGGTGATCAGTGTCCGGACCAAAGAAGTAAAATCCAATAATTTTAGTTTCATTCTAAAATGCCTAAAAACACAAATTGTAATTATTTTCCGAAAATATGAGATTGGACACAAAAAATCATTATTCGGAAAAACCAAGAGAAAAACGAAATTCAAGACAAACAGCTTCTATTTTTATTAACCATCATGCTTTACTAACAAAAACATAATATAATACTCATAACAAAAAACATAATATAATACTGATAACAATAAACAGAAAAGCAATCAATTAACACATAAAAATAAATAATGTGCTTTTTGTCTTACCCTCTCTGGTGCTGTACTTAATTACATCTGTTTCGTTTACTTTTAATATCACATCTCCGACTTCAACCTGAAAACAAGAGGATAATAATTTCATTATAATTTTCTTGGAATTGTTATTATTACCTAACAATATAATTTCTAAAAGAACGTATAAAACAAAACTGGGATAGAAAAGATATGGCAAACACAAACAAGCCCACACAGATATTGGACCTACAGGTAAGTTTATAAATAACTACATTTGTCACGAAGAATGAAAAAAATTACAAAATGGATACCTGTCCCACTTGGCAACATTACCATGGTTCAACACATGGCAGATAAAAGTCATCGGGATTCTGAGAAATATTTTCACATTATTTCAACATTTTAGGGTTATGTTAAATTCTGATAATAAAAGTTATGAATGACCTTGAAAGCCCATTGGTAGTGTAAGCTTAAACTGATGATGTACCTACTCGTTTTAACATTTTATATTTTGTTCTGCATTACGCAATTTCGGAACGAGTGCTGTAATGAGAATAATATCTCACACTAGAGATAGATTAATACAAGTATGGGCTACGACGCTAGAGGCAATTTCCCTATTCCGTTCTATGCAGGCGTCCGCCGTCACGACGAGTATAGTATTTTCAATTTGAATTGAAACACTAAAAAAACATCTAAGCTGTTTTCTCGCGTTCACTTTTTTGACATTGGTGGTTAACGATTGCACAAAAATCACTTATAATTAAGTTTCCCTTTTTGTAGCATGCAGCAATATTTCTAATGTCACGACTCTGGGGTGCGTGACAGAAATCTTGGGTCAGTTTATTCCAAAAATCAAAGTCCAATTATCACAACAATAATTTATTCCACGTTACTATACACTCTGACACTAATTACTTCACTAATCAAGGGCGGATATTATAAAACTACTTTGGCAGTTAACTAAAAGTTAACTTCTGGAATTATATGAGAAGTAACGTCATTCCAGAAGTTAACTTTTAGTTATTCTGTCAAAATAGTTTTATAATACCCGCCACAAATCTTTACAACTCTTACAAAATTCACTATCTAAAAGGGCGGGTATTATAAAACCATTTTGACAGATTAACTAAAAGTTAACTTCTGGAATGACATACTTCTCGTAGCAATTCCAGAAGTTAATTTTCAGTCATGTGTCAAAATAGTTTTTTAATACCCACTGTAACAGGCCAAAATTGCACAACTAATTCTTACCTACTTTCAGTTTTCTATTCAAAATTCCCTTAAATTTGTTAACATTTTCTCTCTATAAAATTTGAACAACAATCACAAGGGTTGCGGATCCTGTAAATTTTCTAATTTTCAATAGTCAAAATCTATTTTCATTTGTTACTAGTTCCTGTGCTGTAATGATTTTTACCTACGAGCGTGCGGTAAAGTGCACTTTACCGCACTTATTTGCAAATGGAAAGTAGCACTTTACCGCACACTATGTGGTAAAGTTACTTCACCGCATAGTGTGCGGTAAAGTGAACTTAGTATGCAACATAGTATGCGGTAAAGTGGACTGCGAAGTGTGCAGTAAAGTAGACTGGTACTGGTTATGATTAAAAATCCTTTTATTTCAGAAAATGGATTTTTGATAATTTGTAAATCTAATCTAATTTCATTAATTAAACTGATTCATTAATTCATTTTATTAATGCTTTTTGTTGGAGATGTAGATGCTCATAGGTAAAATTTTGTACCTAACACATGCGAAAAGTGCCTTTACTGCCCTTAACGGCTTGACCGAACTCCGCTTCGCGTCGTTCGGTCAACTGCGTGCGGTAAAGTATCACTTTCCGCATTTGTTAGGTAAATAACTATTCCTCGATTTCAATCCATATTTTAATTCAATTTCAGAATCAAAACAAATCAATATTTTAAATTCCATCATCTGATTTTCATAATAAACAAATAAATATTCATTTGTCAAAAATATTTATTTTGGGGTTATGCTCCCAAATCATAATAATCCGTTTTCAAAGTGTATGTACCGAAGTACTCTGTTCGTACTTCCTTATTCTCTTCGGTTATTGAACTCGGTACAAGTTCTAGTGAAACCTGGGTCAATCATTGGTTCGATAGTCTTTGAGATGTTTCCTGCGCTATCCTTGCTTCCTATTTTTTGACTTTTGAAGTGTCATTAATTCTGTCAACTGGCTTTCGATTAGTAATGTTTTTGGTATCGTCGATTCTTTTTAAGCCCTCTAATGTTGCAAACGAATCACTTACTCTATGACGTATTCTTCAAGTTATGTATGATTGTTCTATTGGATAATTTTTTAATGTTATTATCATTATTCGTCAGCCGTTGTCATTTTTCTCGAATTATATTGTTGTATGCAATTTTTGGTGAGTGGGAGTTCTATCGATTAATTTTTGACATTTGTCGTTATCCTGGGCCCGGATTCCGAACCCATGCTTCGAAAGTATCGTCTATCGTCAAGCCGTACGAAAGTATGTACCTGACGATAGACGATACTATCGAATCGTGGGCTCGGAATCCGGGCCCTGAATCATCTCTGAATGAAAGTCAGCTAATTAATTTTATGTGTGGCACATTTCTTTTCACATCTGGACGTTGGAGAATATAAGGTCTTTTTGAAGATTATCTTTGCCCTTATAACACATTTAGTTGCCTGTTGCCTTACGTTTTCGTAGTGTTATAGTTTTCGTCGATTAATTCGGATTTTTACAACTCCATGCGGTAAGTCTTGCTTTACACGTTTTTTCCACAGTAGATTTTGACTTTTTCTATTTAATCACTAGTGAAAAGCTGCCCTAAAGAGTAGAGTATCATCTTACTCACTCCAGGATATCCAATCCAGACCTCGATCTAGATTTTCAGAGTATTTTCGAAGCAAACAAACCCTATTTCCAACAGGTAAAAACATAACCTTATTAACCTCAATTTTATGCAAACTCGCGGCACATTTTCTTCAAATACTATTTAAGCTTTATATGATTTCATCTAATTTAATTAATTATTATCATAAATACATTATTGTTCAATTTTTCTATTAAAATAATTTTCAAGAGCTATAGATGTTTTATCAAGTAAATTTGCTGTTTGAGACTAATTGAGTTGCATTATAATTTCATTTTCTAATTCAGTCTATTCATAAAGTGCTTCGCTATGGTTCAATTACAAATACAGTATGTTATAACAGTTTTTTCTCTTAGGGTTTTCTTTTTACCACTGAGTTTTTTACTTACGGTTTCAAGAATACACGTTCAATCGTAACCGAAATTGAACTATAAGGCTATCATAGACACCAGCCTAAGTAGTTTGACGGTTACACCAGCCTTCTGGACTGTGAATTCTGAACATTAAGATTGGTTGGACCATCTTAACCACAACCAGTAGCCAGGACCGAGGTCTGGACTAATCTGATTGATTGTATCTACTATCACCTGGAACATTTTGGTATCGTACTAGTTTTAGTTAACCTATCTATATTTTATTGTTCATTTACATTCTGTCCTATTCTGTATGCCACAGTGATCACTACGGTATTTCAGGGAGTAATTCAGTGCTTGTCCCAATGTGGCAAATGAATTATTAATAAGGTAATTTAGCTAAACATAACCTGATGAATTTATGCCAATTTACTGGTAGTTCTGGTTACGTAAGTGTAAGATAACTCCGCTCCGACAACTAGTTGTTTATTTAATTTAATTTTTTCCTTATTTTTCTCAACTTTATATTTTCAACTTTTCAATTTTTACATTTTTTTTTCTTGATTTTTGAGTTTCAATAACATTTTCGCATTTAAATTTAATTGTTTATGACTATAGCAAATATGTATTTCAAAGGTATAGCATTTCTGTATTTGTTGGTTAACGCTTCATTACAAGGTCATTTTATTAATTGAATTAATGACAATTCAGTGAATGTACGTTTTCTTAAATGGTAAATAGTTTTCACACTTTGGTAATATTGCTAATTTACTTGATTATCATTATTTTTTTTTTAATTGTCAGTGCCCATATCGTTTCATTGTGGACGGTAGCCATTTGGTAAATAAACTTACTACAGCACTTGATTAATTGACTTTTATTTGGTTTTATGCACACAGCTTGGTTTTAGCTAATATTTTTCTTTTTCTTTATTATTATTTGAATTGTAAGGACCTGGAGCCAGATAAGATCCTGGAGAGTCCGACTCATCTATCCAGAGTCGGTGGCGCCCAAAACTAAAACCCACCCCTACTCTCAGAATTGTTTAGTTCTCAGCTAGGACATAATTTACACGCATTTCGACCTTCAGTCCTACAATCTCAAGTTCTTTATTGAATTTCATTTTGTATTTTTTTTTTTTATTATTTTTTTTTTTTTTAAATTTTTCTTTAATTTTTTTTTTATTTATTTTTTTTTCTAAAATTTTATATCAGCGAAAAAGCGTGGCACCACCCTATATCGTATCACAGTCAATCTTAAAACTAAAAGCTACTAACTAATACCGGCCTTTATATATCCGTAATCCATTCTTGTAAAATCCAGAATAAACGCGATAGGCCTTTTTCCCGAATGGCACTGTAAAATCTAGAATCAGCTGTCCAGTTCTGTACAACATGGCGCTTCCGCCAGATTTTCGCGGTACTATGTTTTTATCATTGCTTTTATCCTTTATCATAAACTAAAATGTGAAATATGTAGGAAGAACCCATGAACAGAATAACAGTTTAGAAAAATGATGAGTTGAAATATGTGAACCTGAAACTTTTCCAACTACAAAACTGAAAAATAAAATAAGAAAATTGGTTAAATAGAAAATTGTGTTTAAACATTGTAAACTCGGAGCATTTCCTACCTCGATTTCTATACTCAAAAAAAGGTTAGTGCTTATTTGCTATTTTTAGATTTTGTTGCTCAAATTAACTTTCCATTGAAATCTCGCTGATTTATAGCCTTTGAAACCTAAATAGGCTATTTTCCATAAGAAAACCGGTGACCTAGTTAACACAGCTGCTTTTCAAACTTGCATATTTTATGTATTTTATGCACTGGCATAAAGCACATTCAAAAATATAAGAAACTTATTTACGTTTCATT